ATGATTAAACCTGACCGAACCGACCATTTGCTCACCCCTACTCCCATCCATCTCAACATTGCGTTCTCTGCCAAACAACAACCACTTTCAAGGACCTTCAACGTTCCGTTCAAAACCTCAACTAACAAATTTCCTTTTGCATTTCAAACACCAAATGAAATACAAAACTTACAAAACTCTTCCCTCCATCAACCATAGGTTTCATTCACCGCACAATCTATAACGGCCGCTGCGGCAGTGTTCTGTCAAAGGCGAGACGTTTGGATTTCCCCTGCTTTTTTATTTTTTATTTGGAATTTCTCCGGTTTTTTATTGAGATTACTGAGAAATTAGATATGAGTGAAGTATCTATAACGTTCTAATTGCAACATAATATTACGATGACTAAAGTTTCTGCAACTTTTGTCGAATATGGTACTCAAGAACTCAAAACTCATGCTCTCTACTAATACACGAGATTGAAACTGTAAGATTTTCTATCTAAATTTCATCTACCATTACAACTTTTCTAATATATAACCCAATCTACATCAAAACAAAGCAACAGTTACACACATTAATTAATTTGGCTAATTAAATCGAAAGGCGGGAAATTGGAGTAGCCTCTAAATGAGCTACCCTCGACATAATAAACCCAAACCTCTCATCCATTTCCAACCCAGAAGGCGACACGCCATGCGGAAGCCTCCAGTCAAAGCAATGAGCTAGCTGGGCCAGCACCAGCGGCACCACCGACAGCCCGAAGCTCATGCCGGCACAAATTCTACGGCCGGATCCAAACGGAAAATAGTGAAAATCATGGCCCTTGAACTCCGGGCTGGTTTTCTCGAACCTCTCGGGTATGAACTCCTCGGCGTTGGGCCAGAAGTCCGGATCCCGGGCCACCGCCCAAGAGCATAACGTGATGTTCGAGCCGGCTGGGATACGGTAGCCATCAAGGGAGATGTCCATCCTGTTGCGGCGGGAGACGAAGGCAGTTAACCCATGGAGCCTGAGTGATTCTTTGATCACCATCCCCAAATAGGCGAGTTTCGGTATGTCCGACTCCTCGACCATTCGATGAGGGCCCACAACTCTCATCAGTTCGTCTTGAAGCTTCTTCATGATCCTAGGATGCCTTATCAACTCGGTGAAGGCCCAGTCGATGGCATAGGAAGTTGAATCTAGAGCAGCTATGAGCACCTCCTGCAACGAATTATCGAGTCATATTCCTGAATGTTATTAAAATGTCAGGAATGGATTTGGATCCTCTCCACTACAAAAAAGTAGTGGAGAGACCACTACTTTTAATCTCAAGCATTGATTATTTAGTAGGCGGTTATGATACAATCTAAATCTAACACTTATCATACCCCCGTGTATTGCACTCATTCCTAATTTGCACTAAAAGAAAAAATCATAACCATCAACTAGATAATCAATGGCTGTGATTATGTTGTGGTCCCTCCACTATTTTTTTTGTAGTGGAGAGGATCCGAATCCTAAAACAACTACGCCCACTAGATGAAAATTGTCATGTGAATGTGCATGGTTTCCTTACCATAAGTATACCCTTGATGCTACTCATGCAAACTCGCAACTCCAAATTACCCGTATCATTCTTGGCATCCAACAAGACATCCACGAAATCATTCTTCCTCTTTTGCCCCTTCTCCCTCAACATTAGATGCTCGTTGATGATCATCTCGAAGAAGCGACCTATCTTTTCTCTCACCGCCTTCGTCCTCCTCCTGATCCCTTGAAGATTCGTTGAGATTTGATGAGCCGATGAGTCTCATGACTTCCTCAAGATGCTCACAGAATTTTGCCCCATCCATGCTCTCCTCCATTAACTTTCTCCCCATCACAATTCGACATACTATGTCACCAACAAGCAACCACACCTAATTAATCAGCAAGGCAAGTGGGTTTAGTTAACATGCACAAATAAATTAATTTGTTCAAGAGGACTAAATCCCTCGACATGTATCAATGCATCGACTAAACGACTAAAATTTGTAGCTAGGTTTGATTTGATGTCCAACTGGTCTACAAACTATTTTAATTCAATTCTATGTATCACGCATTTATGCACATTATTAAGTTAAAGAAGTAACCTTCGCAGTGACGTCAACCACAGCTTTCTCCTCAGCCGCAACTTTCAACGAGTCAACAAGACTCTCGATCTCCTCCCTCTTAACAAACTCATATGACTCAACCTTGCCCGAACCAAGCAAATTGTGAACACATAACTTACGAACGCTACGCCAGTACGTTCCGTGCTCAGTAAAGGCGAACCCTTTGAAGCCATAAGATAAAATATGTAGAGCCTCAGCCGGAGGCCGGTTGGAGATGGCAATGTCGTGGTTCTTAAAGAGTTTCTCGATGAGGGAAGGGGAGGAGATGAAGATGGATGTGGTTGAGCCGAGTGTGAGGTGGATGATGGGGCCGTATGTTTTGGTGAGGCTGGAAATGAAGCGATGGGGGGAGGAGGTTAAAATGTGCAGGTTTCCGATGATGGGGAGTGGGCGGGGACCTGGTGCAAGATGTTTAGGGCCTCGGAGGTAGAAGATTACGAGGATCATTACGATTAAGGGTAAGAGGAGGACGAAGAGTGGGGATGCCATGGCTGAAGACTAAAGTTCGGGTTTGAGGAGCTAGCTAGATTGAGGCAATTGGTGTGAGGAGGCAGGATGAGGGGAGAACACATTATATAGGCTAACTTATTATTGAAGATTGAAGAAGATTTGCCTAAGATTTGCTCAATTACTACTTGTGCTCTTCCTCCTTGGCACGTATCGGAGTCAACTCTTCCTTATCTCCTTCTGAGCAAGATTTGCTGAAGCGGACCTCCATGCCAAGTCTTGAGAGCCATGTGGTTGAATGGTGTCGACCTATCAAACGATTCTGGCACCGATGTGATGATGTCATCGATGCTACCATCTGTTGGATTTTTTGGTCAAAACTGCTTTCCAAAATGAGTTATATATATATATATATATATATATATTGTTAGGCACACTTTGCACTTCGCACGGAGGCATCGGGGCGAGGTGGCGCTGTTTAGCGCCACGAAGGCTGCTTCGCAGCATGCGGACGAGCTACATATTCGCACGAGGGTGACCCTAGCGTTCTCGTAGTTTGACAAGGTTCGCTCGTTCGACGAGGTTCGTCTATTATACGAGGTTCACCTGTTTGACGATGTTCGTTCGTTCGACGAGGTTCGTCTGTCATACGAGGTTTGCTTGTTTGACGAGGTTTGTCTGTCATACGAGGTTCGCCTGTTTGACGAGGTTCGCTCAATCGACGAGGTTTGTATGTCATACGAGGTTCGCCTGTTTGACTATGTTCGCTCGTTCGACGAGGTTCGTCTGTCATACGAGGTTCACCTGTTTGATGACGTTCGTTTGTCAAACGAGGTTCGTCTGATTTGCTGAGACGTGACCCTCACGTTTCGTAGCAACGCGTACATTGATTGCCTCGTATTCAGCAGTTACTGCATGCAGCAGTTACAACCTATGAAGCACGGACACGCATAACATGAAGCCGTGTCGTGTCGTGTCCGTGTAGGACACACGTGTCGAACACACGTATCCTATGTATTTTTTAGGATTTGCCTCGTGTCGGCGTGTTGGATGGCCGTGTCGGATCCGTGTCCGTGCTACATAGGTTACAATAGCATTAAGAACAATTTAATGCATTGATGTTACAATCTTAATTGTCATTAAGAATTGTAACGATCATATTAATTGCTAGTGACTCTTGAGCTGACCTTAGAGGCCTATAAATAGAGCCCTTGGGCAGCTCTTGGGTGTGATTGGAAACTCTCTCGCGAGCGTGGAATACGAACGTCAGTATAGAATACGAACGCCGGAATACCCACGCGAGCTTGGAATACGAACGTCAGATTGACGTTGTTGTTGTGCTGTTGCTGCAGAAACTGTGCCCGCAGGAACCCTGAAACCGAAAGGTTTTGAACTGTAAGGTTCTGAGATCGAGGAGATCTTTTGCCTTGACCGAAAGGTCTTATAGATCGAGGAGATCTTGACAGTACTGGGTTGGTGCACATCAGAGTACTGTACTACTGTTCCTAGAAGCAGTTTGACCTTGGGATCCTTGCACCGGAGTAGGCCAAATATTACTTTAAGCACAGCGTTTCACAAACACACAACAGTTAATTGAAATTTTAAAATAACAGCACATCATCCTTCACTTTTTAATTCCAGATTTAACCTTAATTTCCAACAATCTTAAAGCAATATTTCAGATCTATTAATGGATCCTGCGAGGACTCTTGGAGTGGACTGTCTCAAGTTAGAAAACTTTGATGGATCTAACTTTAACGCATGATGTCGAAAAGTGATTTTTGGGATGCAACTCCTAAAAATCTACAATGTGGTTTCTGAGGAGAAACCTGACTTTGAAGAAGACTCAAAGTCTAAAGCCTCTTAGGATAAATATGATTATTTCTGTAGGAGTTATCTTCTTAACTGTCTGGCTGATCATCTGGCAGATGCTTACACTAACAAGCCATCTGCAAAGGAAATCTGGAATGCTCTGGAAGAGCAATACAAGGATGAGGAGAAGCTTTCTAAGTCTCACCTCATTGACAAAGTTCTGGACTTCAAGTTTGAAGATGACACTGAGGTTTTGCCTCAAGTTAAAGAATTCGAAAAGCTTGTTATGAAGCTGAAGGATGAAAATATCAGTCTTTGTCAAACCTTTATTTTTGGTGCAATTGTCAACAAGCTTCCTTCATCTTGGATATCGTTCTCCACGGACATCCGAAGAAGGAAAAGACAGGTGACTTTATCTGATTTGAAGAGGTTCATTCGGATCGAGGACGAGATTTGGACTCGCACAATGAATGAGCTCCTAGCCAAGCAGAAGGCGTCTGCTAACATGGTGGCTACTAACTCTGAGAAGGGTACCAGTTCTTCTAAGAAAAAGAAGTCTTTTAACAAAAAAGAATCATAATCTGAAGAACCTGAATGTTCAGAAGAACGATTTCAAGAAGAGCGGCAAATGCTTCAATTGTGGGAAGTAAGGACATTTTGCCAAAGACTGCAAAACACCAAAGAAGGGAACAATACACAATGTTAATCAACTTGATAATTGTATGGCTATGCTCTTTCAGGTGACAACTCCCAACAAAGTCTCTGGTTGGTGGTTAGATACATGTGCTACCTGTCATGTCTGCTCCAACAGAGATTTGTTATCTTCCTATGTTGCTACCAAAGAGAGCGTATCAATGGCTGATCGTTCTGTGGTTCCTATTCTTGGAACTGGGACTGTGGTGCTGGCTCTTTCTTCAGGGAAGACTCTCACATTGAAGGATGTGAAATATGTTCCCTACATTACCAAAAACTTTGTCTCTGGAAGCCTGCTGTGTGACGCTGATATGAGGCTGGATTTCTAAGGAGGAAATGCTGTGTTATCTTTTAAGAAAATATATTTTGGCAATGCATATCGTACTGATGGCATGTATAAGATTAGTACTATTGTACCCAACTCAGTTGTAAATGAAGTATCCTCTTTTGCTTATTCCTCTGTATTATGGTATAATAGGCTAGGATATGTAAATTATAGAAAGCTGTCTAGCATGGAGAAGTTAGGATTACTTCCAAAATATGAGGGTAACAAACCCGATAAGTGTGAAGTCTGTGCACAAGCGAAGCTGACAAGGAAGCCATTTCTAAGTGTCACAAGGAGCATCAACCTATTGGATCTGATTCACTCAGATAGTTGTGATTTCAAGAGCTTCGTCACTCGAGGCGGCATGAAGTACTTCATCACTTTCATTGATGACCACTCTCGCTTCTGCCACGTCTACCTGCTGAAATCTAAAAATGAAACCTTCAGCAAGTTCGTCGAGTTTCGGACTCGAGTGGAGAAACAGCTTGGACTTCAGGTGAAAAGACTCAGGAGTGACAGAGGAGGAGAGTACCGATCTAAGGAGTCGGAGGCATATTTCAAGGAGCATGGAATCATTGCTGAAATCACTGCTCCGTATTCTCCGCAATCTAATAGAATTACAGAAAGGAAGAATCGCACATTGACCGAGATGGTAAATTCGATGCTAATCACATCTGGTCTACCTACATGCTATTAGGAAGAAGCTTTGCTGATGGCAAATTGGATTCTAAACAGAGTATCCTATTCCAAAACTGATAGTATTCCTCATCAGTTATGGTTGGGATATCCAGATCCTTTGGATAGTCTCAAAGTATGGGGGTGTCTCGCATATGTTCGAGTTCCAGATATCAGAAGGCCTAAGCTCGGACCAAAGGCAAACAGATGTGTGTTTCTTAGCTTTGCTGAAGATAGTGATGCTTGCAAGTTCCTTGATCTTGGAACCAACTCCATCATCGAAGCTCGGGATGCAGAATTATTTGAGGATAAGTTTATCAAAGATGAAGGATTATTGCTCAAAGATATAGCAGAGAATTCTAGTACGTCAGACGCACCAGAGGAGCTAGTTTCGCGAGAAACTAAAAATGTCTGTGATGAAGGAGTTACTGAACCATCTTCCACGCGTGTCAGGAGACTGAAAGATTTTGGAGATGATTTCATCACCTATAATGTGGAAGAAGACCCACAGACTTTCCAAGAAGTAATGTAGTCAACAGATGTTCTTCTGTGGAAAGAAGCTATAGATGATGAGATGGATTCATTGATCAAAAATCACACGTGAGAGCTGGTGGATGTACCTGAAGGTGCTAGGCCTATCAGTTGCAAGTGGATCTTCAAGAAGAAGCTTCGTCCTGATGGTACTATTGAGAAGTACAAAGCAAGACTGGTGGCGAAAGGATTCCTATTGAGAAGTACAAAGCAAGACTGGTGGCGAAAGGATTCTCTCAGAGAGAAGGAATAGACTTCTTTGATATCTATACACCAGTTTGCAGGATCACTACCATCAGAGTGCTTATTGTATGGACGGCGATAAAAAGGTTCGTCATACATCAGATGGATGTGAAGACTGTCTTTCTTAATGGAGACCTCACAGAAGAGATCTACATGGAAAAACCAGAAGGACTTGATGCTCCAGTTGGTAAAGTTTGTAAACTTATTAAGTCTCTATATGGACTTAAGCTGGCACCGAAACTCTGGCATGAGAGGTTCGATGGGATTGTTCGTAACAATGGGTATCAAGTAAGTGAGTCTGACAAGTGCCTATACATCAAGGTCGCTGAAGGGAAGACGGTGGTTATCTGCCTCTATGTGGATGATATGCTCATTGTCGGGAGTGATTTGGAGATAGTAACATCTACCAAGAAATTTCTACAGCTCAGTTCAGCATGAAGGACCTTGGAAATGCGGACATGATTCTCGGAATCAAAATCATATACTCTGAAAGGGTATTGGATTATCCCAATCTCATTATGTCGAGAGTATGCTAAGGAAGTATGGCTACTACGACCTGCCAGAACTTTTAGTGCCGTATGATTACAACAAGAAGCTTCGACCGAACACTGGAAGACCAGTAGAGCAGCTAAGATACTCAAAGATAATTGAAAGTCTTATGTACGCGATGAGCTGCACAAGGCCAGATATAACATTTGCTGTAGGAATTCTTAGTAGGTTCACAAGTAATCCTGGAAAGCTTCACTGGGATGCTGCCCAGAGATTGGTGAGATACTTGAAAGGAAATATAGGATTGGGCCTATTCTACACTGGATATCCGACTGTAATCGAAGGCTATTCAGATGCGAGCTGGTGCTCAGAACCAGATGAGTGCATATCTACTAGAGGTTTTGTCTTCACCATGGGCGGAGCTACTGTCTCGTGGAAATCTAAGAAGTAAACTATGATTGCACAGTCATCGATGAAATCTGAGTTCTTCTCACTCTGTGCTGCAGGAGATGAAGCTGAGTGGCTCAGTTGTATTCTCCGAGACCTTCCATTGACAGAATTATAATGCGCAATTACAATCTATTGTGATAATCAGGCAACAGGTGCTGTGGCAGCGAACTCGTTGTTCAATGGAAAGAAGCGGACCATTCGTCTGAAGCATAGCTATTTGAGAGAACTCATTTGCCAAGGAGTCATCTCGTTGACTGACGTTCGGTCTTCAGAGAATGTGGTTGATCCTTTGACTAAAGGTCTGAAAAAGGACATAGTCGAAAGGGCGTTTGCTGCAATGGGTCTCAAAGTTTTGTGAGTCTTACAAATACTTACCATGTTCATCCAATTATTAGTTCAAAGCTTATGCTACTAATAATAAAGATAACTGGTTCAAAAGTCAAGTAAGATTTGTAAAGTTTGGTGAGTCTTACAAATACTTACCATTTTGTCAAGTTATTAGTTCAAAGCTTACGCTACTAATGACAAGATGATTGGTTCAAAAGTCAAGTAAGATTTACAAGTGAAATCCTATCATGTAAAGAGGTTGGCTCTTAAGCATTAATGGGTCCAAAGTATTTCGGATGCGGGATGTTGGATAGGTAACATGCCTAAAGGACTCACTGATAATCATGTCATGTAAAGGGGCTGGCTGTTAAGCCTTAATGGGTCTAAAGCATTTCGGATGCGGGGTGTTAGATAGAAAACACGCCTAAAGGACTCACCTAGAATCCTATCACGAGAGATGATGGCTCTTAAGCCTTAATGAGTTCAAAGCATTTCGGATGCGGGATGTTTGATAGGAAACATGCCTAAAGAACTCATCTATGCCTGGGTGAAGATTTGGCCATCTCCTATGGTGTCTTGTGGAAAGATACCTAGAGCCCTAGCAAAAATCAGGACTAGCACAGGGCCATAAATGTGCAAAGGCAAAGGCAAATGTGGTTCAAAGTGAAAACTACCACAGATGAGTTTGATCTTGTGTGATCGCTAGATTTTAGACATGTGCTGCTTCAAGTCTCTGCGACACCATGCATCTATCTTCTATTTAGTTGGTCTAAGGGGGATTCAAGTCCTTGCGACATCTACCTTATGCACAACGATTGAAACAATGGCACCATAACACGATAATAGTTTAAAAACTTATGGGGGATAGTTAGATTTTTTGGTCAAAATTGTTTTTCAAAATGAGTTTTCAAACTATATATATATTAACTACAAGTACTTTTCATAAATACTTAGTAGCCTAGTGGAAAGTTTATGTTTTGATGTTTTAAAATGTTCCTTGTTCGAGGCTTGCCAACGGCAAGCTGAGAAGTGTTTTATTTGAATTAATCCCTCATAAGTTCTAGTGGGCCGTGGGCCAATGGGTCGGGGATCGGGGCTAATCGGGCTGAGACGCTAAGTGGCGCTTTGTTAGACACACTTTGTACTTCGCACGGAGGCATCAGGGCGAGGTGGCGCTGTTTGGCGCCACGTTGGTTGCCACTATGGTCGTCACGAAGGTTGCCTAGCAGGCTGCTTCGCAGCATACGGACGAGCTACGTATTCGCACGAGGGTGACCCTAGCGTTGTCGTAGTTTGACAAGGTTCGCTTGTTCGACGAGGTTCGTCTGTCATACGAGGTTCACCTGTTTAACGATATTCATTCGTTCGACGAGGTTCGTCTGTCATACGAGGTTCGCTTGTTTGAAGAGGTTCGTCTGTCATACGAGGTTCGCCTGTTTGACGAGGTTCGCTCGATTGACGAGGTTTGTATGTTATACGAGGTTCACCTGTTTGACTATGTTCGCTCGTTCGACGAGGTTCGTCTATCATACGAGGTTCACCTGTTTGACGACGTTCATTTGTCAAACGAGGTTCGTCTGATTTACTGAGACGTGACCCTCACGTTTCGTAGCAACACATCCATTGATTGCCTCGTATTCAGCAGTTACTACATGCAGCAATTACAACAGCATTAAGAATAATTTAATGCATTGATGTTACAATATTAATTGTCATTAAGAATTATAACGTTCATATTAATTGCTAGTGACTCTTGAGCTGGCCTTAGAGGCCTATAAATAGCGTCCTTGGGCAGCTCTTGGGTGTGGTTGGAAACTCTCTCGTGAGCGTGGAATACGAACGTTAGTATAGAATACGAACGTCGGAATACCCACGCGAGCTTGGAATACGAACGTCAGATTGACGTTGTTGTTGTGCTGTTGGTGCAGAAATTGTGCCCGCAGGAACCCTGAAACTGACAGGTTTTGAACCGTAAGGTTCTGAGATCGAGGAGATCTTTTGCCTTAACCAAAAGGTCTTATAGATCGAGGAGATCTTGACAGTACTGAGTTGGTGCACACCAGAGTACTGTACTGTTGTTCCTGGAAGCAGTTTGACCTTGGGATCCTTGCACCGGAGTAGGCCAAATATTGCTTTAAGCACAGAGTTTTACAAACGCACAACAGTTAATTGAAATTTTAAAATAACAGCACATCATCCTTCACTATTCAAGTCTTGATTTAATCTCAATTTCCAACACCATCAATCTTACCGCAGATGATACCATCATTTTCTTCATATAGGAAGGCAGCGGCGGAACAACGATTTTTTTATAAGGGAGGCCAAAATACACCATCGTACTACATATATTGATAAAAAAGGGACAAATATAATAATATATTAATAAATTTTTACGAAGAACCTAAAATAAAAGTTTTAGAAAGAAATTTTTTCGTAAATACTTAAATCATTTCAAAATATGCACCCATCATTGAATTCAACATGCTTTAATTTTCTAAAGTTTTATTTATAAATTGTAGTTGGTTTTTCCACAACTACAA